GTGCCCACCATGGGGCCCTGGAGCCTGCAGACCTCGCCCGTGCTCCTGGGAGTCGTACCTCTGGGGCACCCTGTGCTCCTGGGAGTCGTACCTCTGGGGCACCCTGTGCTCCTGGGAGTCGTACCTCTGGGGCACCCTGTGCTCCTGGGAGTCGTACCTCTGGGGCACCCTGTGCTCCTGGGAGTCGTACCTCTGGGGCACCCTGTGCTCCTGGGAGTCGTACCTCTGGGGCACCCTGTGCTCCTGGGAGTCGTACCTCTGGGGCACCCTGTGCTCCTGGGAGTCGTACCTCTGGGGCACCCTGTGCTCCTGGGAGTCGTACCTCTGGGGCACCCTGTGCTCCTGGGAGTCGTACCTCTGGGGCACCCTGTGCTCCTGGGAGTCGTACCTCTGGGGCACCCTGTGCTCCTGGGAGTCGTACCTCTGGGGCACCCTGTGCTCCTGGGAGTCGTACCTCTGGGGCACCCTGTGCTCCTGCTGTTTGGCTGCTAATGTCCCCCCCACAGCGTCTCCCTCCCGGGGCCGGAGAGAGGCCCGGCACTCCACTCTGCCTGCACTGCCGGACGCTCACGCCCTACACTGGCCCGTGTGCTTGGTGGTTAGAGCGTTGGAGGGGCACCAAAGGGTCCCAGGTTTGGTTCAGTTCCGGTCAAGGGCACATCCTGGGTTACAGGTCCATCCTGCCCTGGTCAGGGCACGTGCAGAAGGCAACCGATGGATGTGTCTTTCTCACATCAGTGCTTCTCTCTCTCTCTCTCTCTTTCCCCCTCCCTCCACCCTTCCCTCCCACTCTCTCTACAAATCAATGGAAAAATCCAGAGGGAGGTATTCGCGTCCCATGTCTCCCCCATCACGTGACCATGTGCACAGCTCTGTACAAACGACACTTCACACAAAGCTGCAGCGTGGCCCTGGCTGTGTTGGTTCCTTTCCTCCATAAACAACATACGTCCACAGACCGCCTCTTGACTTAGACATTAAACCCTGCGCTGGTTGCTCCTGACTCAGGCCCAGGGTTCGTCGGACGGCATAGAAGAGGAGGGACCTTGTGGGACTTACAGTCCCGCACCTGTGCTGCGTCCTGCGCTTGCTGCCTCGGTAGCATGTCCTAGAGGAAAAGCCAGTGGCTCTGAAGTCTTTGCACACGTCTTTCTGTAACGTACACGGCGGTTTTTCAGACATTCCTTCAGTGGGAGCTCACTGCCCCCGGAGGCGGCCGGGTGTCACCAGCTGCTTCGGGGAGAGGCGTGGCCGGGATCCTCTGCAGGGTTGACTGGGTGTGCGTGTCCTTGTTTGCTGGTTGCCTGTCCGTGGGGGTCAAGGTCACATCCCCGGAGCCGCTGCCCTTGAAGTGACACGTCAGGTCACAGGTGCACCTGTCTGTGTCTTCCTCCATCACTCAGCCCTGCCTCTCCCG